TATATATATATATATATATAATGGGATATTTTCGAGCCATTCCATTCATGCATTGTATAGTATACATTAATATCTTCACTTTTCTTTGCTATTACTAACATTTAAGTTAGCAATATACTTGGCAGAACGTACAAAGAAATTTTGTCTTCCTGTTCAATGTGAGATGGTGCTACATATTCATAGAGCTATAAATCTGTTATAAATTCTTGATTGTTACTCCCTCCGCTCCAAAAAATAGTGATTTTTTTGATATTTTTTATATTTGACATAATGCCATTTTGGGATTTGGGATGTGATTATTATCAACTCTCACTAAACGCTGAATGAAGCAAATGGCACACGAGGCAACCGGCTGAACATTGAAAACTTTGTGCGCCTCAAACAACTATTTCAAATTTTCAGCAAGAAACTCAAGCTTATATATTAAGTCTTCAATCTTTTCGAATGAGTCTTCAACTTTGCTGTTCATAGAGTACTCTTGAATTGTTTTGATTGAGTCTTCAAATTTAAAATTCAAGGAGTCTTCATCATCCCTCTCATATTGCTTCTCCATTTTCATTTTACAAAAATAATTAACATGAATTGGAGGAGATGAAACAATCATCAAGTTTTTTACTAAAAAGTACTCCATAGTTGATACATAGACGCATTATGGACTACTAGAGAAGTGGAAACGTGAATCTGATCATATGGAAGAATTCAATTGCATTGAAAATAAACACTCCTAATATATACTCAGCACTATTTACTCTAAGCGCAATGCATAAAAAAAATTAATTAATTAATTCTTGAAATTTGAAAAAGTCATATATTTTGGACAACAAAAAAAATCAAAAAATCATTTATTGTGAACCGGGTAAATATATAATTAGAGTAATTATTCTAGCTAAATCTGAGAGCAATTTTTCACCAACGAAAATGAATCTTTTTTAATATTTTATTTTCAAAGATTGAAACCACGTGCGAGCACAAACTTTGGCAAGGGTCCAATCACATCAAACTATATTGTGCATTATTGAGGCTAGAAAGTGAATTTCAGGTTGTTGACTTTTGAGTAACACCTAAAAAGGTAGACAGATGTATTCTCCAAAAAAGAAAAAGAAAAAGAAAAGGGAGATATATATATAAAAATTATGGAGTAATAGGTTTAGGTAACAAGTCGTTTTCACGCCTCATATCTTAAAGAGGCAAAGCATTTTCACTCAATCTTTTTGAAAGATTTGTCATAAACATGTTAATTTTGCCAAACAGAAAACACCACTTATTTATTTTTTATTTGATACTTATAGAAAAGCGTATTAATTTTCAGGGCTATCGGATTTACTTGGGCAGGCAATTGGAGAATCATAAAGTCACAATTTCCCGAATAGCTGATTTACTTGGGAATACAACCTCAGCCAAAAACCACTTGAATAAGTGCCTCTTCATTGTGGGAATAGGCAGCAATGACTACATCAACAATTTTCTAATGCCAGATATCTATCCAACTAGTCATTTTTACACACCAAGTCAGTACGCAACAGTCTTGATCGAACAATACTCCCAACAGCTAAAGGTTCGAACTAAACTTTTTTTATTTTATTGCATACACTTACATTTCTATATTTAATTTATTAATGGTTGATGTTGCTATTTTGTTGGTAGTAGGATTTGTATGAAGATGGAGCAAGAAAAATCACCCTTTTTGGACTGCCCCAAATAGGTTGCATTCCAGATGAGTTGAAAAAACACAGCACACTTTTATGTGTTGATTCAACAAATGAGGCAGTTCAATTATTCAACAAAAACTTAAAAGCTCTTGTTGATGATCTTAATGCCAATTTACCAGACGCACAATTCATATACATAAACATGTATAGCATTTCATCCGCGATCGGTACGTTAAACATCAGTAGTATACATATCGTATTTTTTTTTCTCCTTATTGTATACTAATAATTTGTCACGTTTTATTTTCAGCTCTAACTCTTTTGAATTATCCATGCTGCCAAGTTACGAAGATCATGCCTGAAGGGCAATGTATTCCAGGAAAAGCTCCATGCCTCATTAGGTCTACTCATCTCTTTTTTGATAATTTCCATCCAACTGAAATCGCCAATTCCATCGCTACACATAGAGCTTACAACGCTCTTCTACCATCTGATGCTTATCCTATGGATATTCGTCACTTGGTCACGGGCAATGATTTGTATTATGATCAGTAACTTTAGTTTCGCATGTTTCACGATTTTCATGGATATATTTGTAATAATCGCCTACACTCTGTAATAAGAATTCAAGTCGAGTGGCATTATTTCTTTGATTGGAATTAAAAAATTCATTTTCCAGGTAATTGGTCACATTGTAAATTGTAATAATCACATGCCCTGCATTTGAAGAAGCCTAAAATTGTTTGCACTTCGAAGAAATTAATTGGCGAAATACATAAACAGACCTTTTAAGTTATTCTCAACTATTAAACAAACACTTAACTGACACCTACTATTTTGACACTTCACCTAGCCGTTGCACCCACACCTGATCTTTTCACAATTGATTTTTACCAAAATACACTCACTACACACACATACACAAAACTACTTCCATAATCATCACTGTTTCGATTTTGACGTCTTCAATTAGTCCATCTTCCTTCATCAAATTGTGACGTTTTCAGTTTTTCTTTTTTCTTTTTGTGCTTTCCATAATCATCACATTTCATTTATTGCCGCTTTCATTGTCCGACTTTTTGTTGGTTTTGAGATTCAAAAATCAGAAAATCAGGAAGAAGTACAAAGAAAAGTGATACTGTCCTCTTCATGCTAATTTCGATTTCTGTGTTTTAAAAAATGGAGATGAATTCAGGTCTGGAGTTCGTCTGATTTCAAGTGTCATTGGTTCATGGTTTCAATTGATTTTATTGACGTCCTTGTAACTGTCAGAATTTCATTAATCAAAGGCAAATTTGAGTCTAAAAATCGAGTGAACGGTAGCTTCGAGCTTGGGTTTTGAGTTTTCCGATTCGAGGTTCCGGTGCGCAATTTCGACTTTTCAGTCCAACGATTGTTGCTTTGTTATTCTGATTGGATTGCAAATTTTCAGCTCTATTCATATATAAAGGTTTGTTTCCATCTTATCCTTTGTCAATTGCTATATCATTTGGTGCTGGAATGATATATTTAGCCAGATTCCTTATTGATGATATCCTGTTCTTCATTGAAATTGCTCGTAATTGGTTGGCTTGGAAATAATTCACTACCTGACATAATTGGATGAAATGCTATTTCGTTTACATTCTTATTTTAATTTTGATGTTGGCTTTGTTTGAAATAGAAGATACAGGAATTAGTTTGAATAAATGGTCCAATTGTTTAATTCCATCAGCTCAATACAAATGAACCCATCAGTTAGCCCGTCCTTAAATTAGCACTAATTCATAATATTTTCCCCATAATTCTTAAATAAATCACAAACATTGTAGCTTGCTTTAGGCGTGATTAATAATAAATCATCATGACTATGGGTACGGTTCTCGTGGCATATTCATGATACATAACTCCAAATTCGGGTGTGCATTTCATGTGACCCGACTATAACTAATAATAATAAAAATTAAACATGTTGTAGATCGTGGGTACGGTTCCCGTGACGCGATTCACAATGTGTACAAAACAAACGAGTGCGCGACATCGCGACTTGTTCAAATAAATTCCATAAATATTAAAAGCGGTTATAAAGTTAGAAATGTACAATAGGTTCTAAACATGTGATAAATCAGATAATGTGGTCAATTATTAATAGTTGAGCGACCGTGCTAAAACCACGGAACTCGGGAGTGCTTCACACCTTCTCCCGGGTTAACAGAATTCCTTACTCGCTTTTCTGTGTTTCCCGGACCGTAAAAATAGAGTCATTTTCCTCGATTCGTGATTTTAAACTGGTGACTTGGGTCACCATAGATTATCCCAAGTGGCGACTCTGAATTTGAATATAAAGAATCCCTTTTCGATTATTGTCACTTTATTTGGAAAAACTCCTTATCCCCCTGGGAAAAATGAGGTGTGACAGTCATGTTAGCGCGAGACGTTTATTTACTATACTTAATAGTCACTTAAGTATCAAAATGGTAAAAGGGTCCGTTGAAGCTAGTGTTTGTCTCATCAATAGAATAACCTAAACGTGCCGTTTATGTATTTTGCCAAATTAATATGATGTGAACGATAAGCGGCCCTCAAAATGCCAAGTCTCTAGTTCGTATCCTAATTTGATTAGATTCAATTAGCTAATTAATTACCAGTTTATCTCGTGTCAAGCCGCTTGCAACTGTGCAAGAGACAAGTAACATCACTGTAACATCAGGACTCTACCAAGGAATAAATTAAACAGATGAAAGTCAAGAAACTTAAATGCTCAGAAGCATGTGTTATATGTGTAAGCACTGAAAATATGGTGATAATTAATTTCTATCTCATATAAATATGTAAAGAGATCAATTCTTAGCTCCTCTCGGTATTATGCTATTGAGGTTATTATTTCCTGCTTGACTCACCTTTATTTTATTTATTAAATCTAACTACTAACAAGAAAATATTGAAAAGGCTCTAGAAACCCAAAATGAATTAATTATTAATCTCACAATAAGTGATCAATTTGTCTTTGGAATACACATTAAAGAAATACTAAATTCTAGAAAAAATAATTAGTGTGACTAAATTAACCTTAATTAAATATTACAGCATAGTTATAGTTGCACTTACTTCTCTTCTCAAGTCACTACATTATTCAAAATAAAACTTGAAACTTTTGCTAAAATTTTAAAAACAACTTTGAAAAAATAAAATAAAGCCAAATTTTCAATTTTTATCACCAAAAACTATCTTATAAATGGAAGCTCAATTTCTAGGTTGTTATTAAACATGGCTAAAATGGAAAAGCACCAAAACCTTCTTCACTTTCCTGGGGAAATTTGTTTAAATCAAAAGGAAAATCTTTAACTTTTCTGGAGTCGCCAACCTTTCACAATTTTCTTGCTTATTGAGTCATCAATCTTCTTGATTTCAGTGCTCCTTGAGTCGTCAATTTTGATTTCCTTTGACTCTTGACTGTTTCAAGTCGTTCTTCAACTTTGATATCCATGGAGTTTGAATGACTTCTCAATTGCTGAAATAGTTATTCTGGAGTCTTTGAATGACTTTTAAGTTACTGCTATTTAATTGTAGTAATACTAGTCTTAGTATACGCGCTTTGCGCGTGTACCTAACTCAAAAAAAAAATTATTTAAAATTTATCTTTGAGATATAAAATAAAAATATAAGTTCTTGAAAATAATGAATACTGGTCGTATATAACTAATAAAAAATAAAATTGCTCCACGAAAATGCTCAATCACCAGTCAAATAATTCAACTTAAAATGTATTTCAAAGAATGACTAAAGTTAGAACTTAGAACTGGAAGTGTGTATTTAGTTCGGAAGTATCATTTTTCAAGTGAGATTAGTATTTAAATAATACTAATTAGCTAGCTCATACCAAATTTTAAGTATTTAATTGCAATTATATTTTTATTCGATAACAATTTTTTTTTCAAATAGTAAAAAGTCGATTAGGTGAAAAATCAACCATGGAAAAAAGAAATGACAATTCTTTGTAAATCTCAAAAATTTAAGAATCACTTTATACTATAAATAAAGTCTACAGTTAAAATGCTCTTTTAAAAGACATAATTATAGTCAAGAAACTTAATTATATTCAGTTAAATTTAAAAGATCTCATAAATTATCTTGTTGGAATAATTAATAATTTTGGAGTTTGTTATTTATTTATGCTCAATATTCCAAACAATTGTAATTACTAATTTAAAAGCTTTGAAAACTAATATAATATAGAATATTACTACTGAGTAGAATAGTCTTCTATGTATTTTTAAGTATTCTAATATAGAAGAGTTTCAAAGAAATCAGAACGTATACAAGTTTTAAAGAAATTTAAAGAAGGCGTAATGGTTTCCTGGCCACTTAAACTTGTAGGTCTTTTGAAAGCCGCTACACGAACTTTGGATTTTCCATCTGAACATTCAAACTTGACAAAATGGGTAATAATAAACACTTTTGACCGTTGACCATACCTATGTGTAAGCACTGCAGCTGACATGGCTGAGCTGTGTGCAAATCACGCTGCCAAGACGCGTGAATAGTATTATTTTTACTAAAAAATTAGAATTAGAATAAAATATAAATAAAAAAAGAAAAAGAAAAAAGAAAAAATACTTTTCCCCTACGTGGCCATTGGATGTGATTCTAACTCATGTATTCATAAAATTGCCTGAATTCATCTCTTAAAGAGCAGCAGCAATTTTTCCAGTAACTTGGTCAAGATCACGATGACCATTGAATTCTTGCTTATCCCATTTCATTAACTATGGAAACCAATTGTATAATAGTGCTAACATTGTATTGTCCGGAGTATTCTCAGAAGCAACAGAATGCAAATACAACTCATTGAACTTCAGCAACTTTCTTTACCTAAAAATAAAGTCATTTCTTCATTTACTTCTCAGATGAGTTCGGCCCCCTCTTCTTCCCGAAACCAACATCTGTTGTGACGAATCTGTGGTTGTATTGCATCATCTTGTGAGCACGGCCAAGAGGCTTCTTCTTCTTGTCCTGTTTGGCAACTTTTGGAGTTTGCCACCTCACTTTACCAGCACGAGCAAGTGATCCGTGAACTTTCCCCATGGTGATATTGGGTATGTTAGGAGCGTCCGGAGCTGCTCGTACAGGCTAATATTGGGTATGTGTTCAGGCGTTTTTTTTTCTTTTTAAAAATGGGACCCACAAATAACACATGGCAAGTAAAGCTTAGCATGATGTGTTGTACATGTCAACGCAATTGATATACACGTTCTGGTGGATGTGTTTATTAGTACGCATTTTGTCTAAGTTTGAGTGTTCAAATGGGAAAATTCAAAGTTCGTGTATCGATTTTCAAAAGCCCTACAAGTTTAAGTGGCCAGGAAGCCATTACGTCTTTAAAGAAACTTCCATATTATCCAAAGTCAAACATACTTCCTCTTTTTTTAATGTTCTTATTCTCTCTTTTATTTATTTATTTTATTATTTATATATAATTTAAGTGTAAAATTTATATAAGGTAAAATATTAAATATTTAAAGTTTTAAATGTCAGAATATTTAATAGAGTTCAATAAGGAAAAAATTTATTATACAAACTCCTAAATGTTAGTGAATTAATTAAATGACTATTTCTAAATATTAGAAAAATAATCAAATGACTATTTTATCCAGTGTTAGCTCTATTTTTAAAGGGTAAAAAAGGCAAACGATATTTCGTGAGGGGTCTTCGTGCTTTTAATATAGTATAGATATATAATATGATGAGTAAAAGACTTTTTAGGGATATGTATATAAGGGTAATTTTGGAAAAACAAATTGAATTTTTTTTTATTATATGAATGAATATTTATTTTAGACCAAAATAAAAAGGCAAATTGGTCCCTAATTGTGGACCGGAGGGAATACTGAATTGCATAAAATTGATAACAAATGGATTTTGAAGTTTAATAGCCTGTTTGGCCAAGCTGCAAAAATTAACTTATTTTGAGAAGTTTTTTTCCCTCAAAAATGCTTTTTTCAAAAGTACTTTTGGTGAGAAACAATTTGTGTTTAGTTAATTAATTTGAAAAATACTTTTGAGCAACAATTAGTGTTTGACCAAACTTTTAAGAACTGCTTCTAAGTGTTTCTCAAAAATGTTTTTTAAAAAAGTATTTTTGGAGAGAAACTACTTTTTTCTGTTCCACTCAAAGGTACTTTTTTTTTCTCTAAAAACTTGACCAAACACTTCAATTTAAAAAAAAAGTTATTTTAAAAAAAGTGTTTTTGACTTAAAGAAGTTTGGCCAAATAGACTATAAGGCTAGCACTTTGCCATATGGATTTCTGCCAGCTGGATTCAGTACCTATAATTTAGCTATAAAAGCTAGACTGATATTCTATCCGTTCCAATTTATGTGAAACTATTTTCTTTTTGGACTGTTCCAAAAAGAATGACCCATTTCTAAATTTGAAAACAATTTAGCTTATACTTTCAATCTATCTTTAATGAGAAGCTCTTGTAACCACACAAATACTCTGGATCCTTATTTAACTTGTTTAGGACCACAAATTCAAAAAATGTTATTTTTTTTAAAACTCCGTGTAGCTCACTTAAATTGGAATGGATGGAGTAGTAGTAAATGTAGATGTGTACTCTGAAACGTACCTTTGATAAAGTTCGAAAATTGATTGAGACATGTCTTTTTAAGCTGCGTTGCACTCGTGAAACTACTCCCCTGTTCCATTCTATCATTGTTTTCTCCAACATTCTTATTTTCTTATTAGTTCATTCAATGAAAAATTATATATTACAGTAAGAATTAATTTCACTTTAATTTTTTTTGGGTTTCGGAATCTAATCTGCTTAAATAACTGGGTTATAAAATTAATAAGTTGTACATATTCGATGCATTTCTTAAACAAATACATGATTTGGATAAAAGTTACTGAATTCGACCGAACCCGTAAATTATATTCTAGCTCTGTCCCTGATTTAAATAACAGCGAGACATGGGCGCATGACATCAACTTAAGTAACCCCACTAAGCATAAAAAGGAGAAATTTATTGATGTTTGCTATAATTTTATATTTTAGTACATTACTCGCTTTATATTTTGGTACTTTAATAATTAATTACGCGATATTTGATTTTAATTGAGTTGTTTCATGTGTAGGATCGTTGGAATATGAAGACGAGTAAAGGTTGCACAAGAGAGTGACGAAAATACAAGAAAAGAGCACGAAAATACGAAGAAGACAAGCCAGGCGCCAAACCAGGCGACACCTAGCTTAAGGTCGGCATTATCTCGAGCCAAGACCTGCCTCGCGAGGCTCTAGGCGTGCCCCAAGCCTAGCCCTATGAGGTCAGGCGCCCAATGTCCCAAGTTCGCAAATTAAAATATTTCTTACCCGGTTTTGAACTTGGAAACTCCGGCCCTAGCCTATAAATACTTCCTAATCGTGTTTATGGAGGGTAAGACATTATTTGTAGTCACAAATAATTTGTGGAACAACTTTAGAGGGAGAAATCATAGAGTTTTTCATCCATTCTTCCTTTTTTTGTAATATATTTAGGCAAAATACTTGGATGATTATTACTACGAATATGAGTACCTAAGCACTCTAGTTCTAGGGGTGTGGTTGACATATATATTGACGTTTATTAATTACATCTTTATTTATTGGAATTATCATCTCGTGATTGTTTCTTTAATTCTAGTTTAACTTATGAATTATTGTAGCTACCGATTCACCCTACTATCTATGCTATGCTTGGAAAGGACATGTTTAGATTAGAGTAGAATTAAAGAAAATTTGTTTCTGAATTCGTGGCTCGGAGAAGAATTCCTCGGTTAGGATAGAAATATATCTAACAGTCCTACTTGGTTGAATACCGTATTTTCTTCGTTCATGATATATTCAATACCATGAGAATATGGAATTGATATATTATGGATAGACGTATAATATTGTGGATGTATGCTATTTGTATAAACGATTTGATCAATTAGCAACCATAGATAATTCGGATTAACAGGTGCAATTACGAACTTAATAGGATTAATAAACCGGTCACAATCTCGGAATCTTCACCTCCTCTGATTAAAGTCCAAATCACAACTTCTTGTGTTCTTGTTAATTTAGTGATTACTTGTTTAATGTTTGCAACAATAGATTAATAGGAAAACAAATCACATTCTTGATTACCTTGGACAGTAAATTGATTTTTATTAACATAGTTAACGATTTATCTAAGTCCTTGTGAGTTTGATATTCTACTTTCGAGATACTTTATTACTTGACAGTCACGTATACTTAAGAAACCAACAGTTATGCTCATTAATTACAGACAATTTGACTCACTTTAACCCATTTTCTCCAACGTTTTCTAATGTAAATGTTTATCTGACATCTACTTAAAAGTGACCAAATAATTTCAAACTTCTATATACAAGTTTTCTATACAAAATTAAACTTTTCATAAAGTCTTGATATGACAGCTCAAATTTGCTTTTCCATGCCATGTGATTATCTCCTTGTTATGACAAATCATATTTGTTTTTGCATTGCAGGTGATTGTCCCCATATGGCTTTGAAAATAATAATGTATAATAAAACTCTCATAACCTGATTTCACGCACGAGAAAGGCGTTCCCCATAAAAGGCTAGGCAACTGAACCCAGGCCCATCCCAGTAGTTTACTTGTCATACTCTATGTCAAATCGACGCCCACATATACCCACTTTTTGTGTCACATTTTAACTTGTGTTCGCTTTGCAAAAATTTTTTACAAACGTATCTGCTTTTTCGCATAACTTCAGCATACGGGGCTGAAGTAGCAAAGACAATCGCGCAAAACTTCAGCATTCTAATATCCGAACCTGAAATTCAGCTCTAGAGCTGAAGTTTTTGTTTTTTAACTATCGAACTTCAGCTCTAGAGCTGAAGTTTTTGTTTGTAAGCTTCAGCTCTAGAGCTGAAGTTTTTGTTTTATAACTGTCGAACTTCAGCTCTAGAGCTGATGTTTTTGTTTGTAACTGGCGAACTTCAGCTCTAGAGCTGAAGTTTTTGTTTTTTAACTATCGAACTTCAGCTCTAGAGCTGAAGTTTTTATTTTGTAATTGTCGAACTTCAGGTCTAGAGCTGAAGTTTTTGTTTGTAACTGGCGAACTTTAGCTCTAGAGCTGAAGTTTTTTCTGGAAAAATAAGTTTTTTATGTTATCGTCCGCTTTAAATGCAGCAACCTCATTTCGTCTAACTCAGACTCAGCTTTGCTCAGCCATTTTTATTGTTAAGCAACTGATATTTGAAAATACAAAACAATTAGGAAATCCTTATGAGGATTTATCTTTATGATATGTTGGAGTCGAAGTCTGGCTTATAGGTTCAGTTACAACTTTAAAATAAGAGAATGACAACGATTAAGGGTAATGGCGTGTAATGCAGTAAAAGAGTAAAAGAGAAGCAACACAGAAAAAGCATTCCACTTTGAAATGAAAACAACAAAGACTCACACTACCAAGAACAGTAATGATCCCTAAGATGACATATTCAAAAGATTTAGTAGCTCCACCACACTGTACAATCTCAGACAACCACCAAGGAACTTGCATTCACAGGTTATATACATAGCCGTAACAGATTTCAATGGGGGCGACTAAATAAGGCGCTCCGTGCAATTTTTACGTTAAATGTTTTTTTCTGAAAGTTTTAGGCCTGAAAACTACAATTCAGATTTTGAAACTTGCACTTGTAAGTTTTTGACTTTTAAAATTATGGTTTCTCATATGCTTTTAATCTGCAGTTGATACGAAGAGTAGGTGTTCAATCAATCTATTCGTATGCAATATTAGTTTCACATATAAAATAAATAGTATTTGGATCCAAAAAATTATATCTCCAAGTAAAATCCATAATTTTAAATAAATAAAATATAACTAAGGTCACCTGCCTAGTCCGGATGATTAGAAAATTTTCACAGGGAACAAAGTGATTAAAATAAGCAAACAGCCAAACCAGAGCTTAATTGTATTTTCCCAAATAACCAGAGACTAATTAACGTCATGGTAATTTGCTATAATTTATATGCATGTTGTACACGGTAATATAATGTGTAGGGGAAAAA